ACAGGCTGCACAATGTCAAGCACTTGTTTTTATTTTTATTTTTTAAAGGAGGGGCTCTGTTTAGTTTCTCTCTTAGCAACTGCTAGAACAGACAACAAAGAGGAGAAAGACTGAGACAGAACATGTCAGCCCTGTCTTCTTCACAGGCCCCCCTCAGGAGGCTCTGGACTGTTCTCCGCACTGCAATCTTTGAGATGCTTCTGTACACTGAGGAGTCATAAATCACCCAGTGGGCAGCCTATGGGATGCTGGGATGCCAAGCTGTGTGTGTGTGAGTGTGCGCGCGTGTGCGTATGTGTGCATAAGGCAGGGGGAGCAGGAAGGAGGAAGACAGAGAGGGGAGGAGACTAATATGCAGGGTTTCTCTTTGGCGAGAAGCTTTCTGCTGCATTCCTCACTTCTTCCTCTCCCAGCAAAGTCACATCTGTCCTGATTGTCCCTCATTCCAGTCACTGGGGTATGGGAGGTAAGAAGGTGCGGGGTGGGTACACAGGCAGGCTGGGGCCTCTTGGGATAGAGTCAGTATAGAAGGCAGCATCCTGGGTTGTAATTCCCTGTAGCTAGTAATGCTGCATTTCTCATCCAGATGGCCACATCTTTGCTAGTAGCTCATGTTACAAAGAGGAAGGAAAGGAAGTGGAGTTCAACAGTGAGGTGGCTATAGGAAACCCTGGGGATTTCCTACTAAAACACGGGCTAGGAGATTTTGGAGGGACAGGAATGAGGGCCATTCTGCTATTCCTTTTTTTTTTTTTCTAATTTCTTAAAGCAGGTTCCAAAAGAAAGCAGAGACAGTTATCATCAAAGCCTCTGTTCAGGAGGAACTTTAAGCTACCCACTTCTTACCCTGGGAAGTGCTACCAGACAGAGACTTAGGGAGACTTAGACCTTAGGGAGATAAAACCTGCTCAAGGATCCAAGAAAATATTTCTGCTGGGCCCCCAACCTCTCTTTAGCACTGTCAAGGTCAAATCCATCTTTATCTCTAAGTTCTTTTCCCTAGCAAGTCTGTCACCTTAGTCAGGTGGATTGTGCTCTTCAAATGGAAAGTCATTCATTCTAGAGAAAGGTCAGGTTTTTATATATGAGAGCAGAGCTACCATATGGCTTGTTTATTTAGGCCCAAGGAGGAAAAGCTGGGAATTGTAGGAAAAGCAAAGTAAGAGTAATTCCTTTAGGGCCGAGAAAATGTTATCTTATGAAGTAGAAAAGATAGTCTAGCTAAGCTGATAGTCTTTGAACTACAGGTCATTGGGTAGAGAAGGATCTAGAGTGGCTGCTGGGCTAGGAGGCATGGTATGGTGATGAAGTCTGTCACCTTCTTGGTTTCTTAGGATGGTAGATTCACAGCTAATATCTTGGACTGGATGGCCTTAATGCCAAGAATGCAGCTGCAAAGTATGGTACATCATTCTCATGGGGATAAGGCCTCAGGGAAAGGAGAAGGAGACAAGAGCTCTAAGCAAAAGCCTTTGCCTAATTTCCCTGGTACCTGACCTTTTCTTCTAAACTAGGCCTTTCTAGACAAGCCAAACAAAAAGTTAGCAAAACTCCATCTCAATCAACAAGCCAGGCCAACAAGCTGGGCATAGTGGTTTGTACCTGTAATCTCAGCAACAAGGGAGTCAGAGGTAAAGGGATTGCAGTCCAGGTCAGTCTGAACTCAAGACCTGAAAGAAATTTCCAGCCCAATCTCCTCAACCTTGTACATATTCCTACAAAACAGACTGTCGTCAGCAAATAAGAAGCAAATAAAGAGGTAGCAGGGTGCCAGTGGCTCACGCCTGTAATCCTAGCTACCTAGGAGACTGAGATCCGAGGATCAAGGGGTGAAGCTAGCAGGATGGTTTGTGAGACTCATGGCTCCTTTTCACCACTGAAAGGCCTGAAGAGAGGTGCTGTGGCTTAGGTGGTAGAGTGCTGGCCTTGAGCAAAAATGGTCAGGGACATTGCCTAGGCCTGGAAGGCTAGGAATCTCTCTCTCTCTCTCTCTCTCTCTCTCTCTCTCTC